CGAATTTCACCATCATAATAAACAATAGCTGAAAGTCGCGTCATTCTTTGAGTTTAAAAGTGCGGCAATATTATATCTGCAAAAAAAAATAACTGAAACAAACCTGATTAAATAAATTATATATGAACGAAAATATAACAAAATAAAATTTTTACACATCAACGTAAATAATTTAAATAATATAATTTTATATTATTACCTGTACCGCAAAACTATTTTGACGTATGCTCCTACTTTTCAATTTTACAAACACAAAAATTAATTGAAAATAATTAGTATAATATTTTTTTCAAATAATCATAATAAACAATAAGTATAATAAAAAATTTATAACGAAATTTATAACGAAAAATCGCACGAACTTCTAAATCAAATATGAGAAAATTACCGGAATTATTACTCGTTGACGGAATTGTTGTATTAATTTATAAGTTGAGAGGAGATATGTGAGGAGATGTGAGAAACTTAACCGGAGGTGAAGGGTATTTATAACCATATAAGGCGTGGTATCTGCACCGCGCTATATGTAATTATTCAGATAAAAGGTATAGCGTGGACCCTAGTATAATTCATACCCAGGTATAACGTTGAGCAGGGGCAGTGCTATACCGTATAACGCGGATCAAGGGGCGCGCTATACCCACGTGTAAGCCATGTCAGCATATAGCGCGGTACAGGGGGCGCACTATACCCCACGTGGCGCCAAGTCAGCATATAGCGCGAGACATGGAGCGCGCTTTACTGCTACGGGTGTTAGATCAGGAAATATAATCTGACCGATATTAGATCGATAAATATACCAATCATCGGTAATTTTTCGAGAAAAACGCCCGGGATTGATATTTCCAATAAAACACTCATAAAATTCTATGGTTGGAAATAGTTTATCACTTCCTATCAGGAATCCTTGCAATCCAAAACATGACTATTAAATTTTAGAAGAAAAAAAAGTTCCCTCCAATAATCATCTTTTCTACCATCCAAATAATCCTTTAATAAAACGGAGAAAGGTGGTTAAAATTCCTTCGAAATTTTCATATGTTGATGATTATTAGTTCAAACTCACACTTCTAACATGTGTGAATTTTTTTATTATCCTTTTGGTTTTCATAATTTTATATGAATTATTCTGGATCAATCGATGTCGTATACCTAATTTTAGTGAGTGAATCTTCTAACGAGAACTTTTTACATACCTAAAATTTTAAATTCAAAATTTTACTTAAACGATACCAAAATATTTACCACTTAAATAACCCTTAATTCTAACGTATGTGAATATGAGAATAGCATTACATATCATTTGGTTGGAAGTGCACAACTTTAAGTAGATTTTGGTCCCTCAAAGAATTCGGAGATCTTTTCGTAATAATCTTACATAAATCTTATAATTACTGCCGCATAAGACATCATATTAAAATGTAATTTATTATACTGATCAATTTCCAAGAGAATTTTTAAAATCCCTCTACATATTTTTTATTTGTCACGTTCAAGACCAACAAAAAGTAACTAGGTCTCATGTTTGGTATGATGCCAAGTGCAGCTTGAACTTTTGTGGATCAGATTATTGAGGTTATCTGGAATCAATGCACCAGAGCCCTGGTCTCCAATGGCTCCTCTGTCGACTTTTCAATCGATTCCATGGTGATTTTGACATCAATTTTTAAAGTCTGCAACGACATGGTCTCAATTCAAGCATACATTGCGATTGTGAGTGTGGTTTTAGGGCTTTTGTTAGGCCTTTAATATAGATTGTTGTATTTTCAGGCTTAATAAACTTGTCTGCTGTGCCTTTTTATGAAAATGAAGACACTTGAGCTTCTTCAAGTATAAAATCCCATTTTTTATCAACATAATGACACCGAACCCTTATTGCAGCCCGTACCACCGAATAAATTGTTTTATTTTTTGTATTAATAATTAAGAAATGTTTTCCCTAAACTTGTTGCGTTAAAAATAAATCAAATAGCCGAGTGATTATTGTATAATTTTTAATAGTTAGGACTTTAACAAAACAATACCTTATAGTTAAAAGATCTTTTGTAATTTTTAATAATCGAAAAATTTAATAAAATAATACCTTAAATTCGAGGATCATTCTTATATTTTACCCTATTAGTTTGTATTTTTTTCCAACAATAACCCAATCAACAAACCCTATTTAAAATCCCAACTAAAACAAAACACAACAAAGATGTTCACACCAGCAATGCCTCATCTGAACACATTCAAGCTGAAGCAACCTTTTGTCAAAACAACCGAAAACAACAAGTAATGTCTTGTAAGACAGCATCCCACTATATGACATTGGTTAAATTGACCCATAAACCCTCATTTTCTAACACCAAAAACAACACTGTAATAGTGAAAATCTCCAAAGGACAATTTCCCACAATTTCTGGAGTCCAACCTAGCATTCCATCTGCCTTTTACACTTCCAATTTTTTTTTAAAAAAAAACTAGATTTTTATTTTTGATCTTTAAAAGAAAAAGCTTCAATATAGTTGAACAAACGGGCCATTGTTCTTTCACACACTCGTTTATTATTACTTGACGCAAAAAAAAGAGGGTAAAAGGCGTTTGAGGAGTTCAACAGCTGTGTTGTGAGAGGATGGCGGGTTACAGAGCAGAGGATGACTATGACTACCTTTTCAAGGTGGTTCTGATCGGTGATTCAGGTGTGGGAAAGTCGAATCTGCTTTCCAGGTTCACCAGGAACGAGTTTAGCCTCGAGTCCAAGTCCACTATCGGCGTTGAGTTCGCTACTCGTAGCTTGAATGTTGATGGAAAGGTCATCAAGGCTCAGATTTGGGACACTGCTGGTCAAGAAAGGTCTTTCCTTTTTATCCTTGTCTTCCTTTCATGCTTCTTGATCTGGGTATTTTTACTTCTCTTCTGATTTTTCTTACAGAGATGAACAAATATTAAAAGAGAATTGTGTTTTCTGTCTTCTTGAAGTTCTTGGTTTGCTTGGGAAAAGAAAGCTACTTTGATTCTGGGAGAGTTTGGTTTGATCTAAAATGGGATTTTTAGTAAATCCTTCTTTTGCCTATATATGAGAAAAAAATGGTCTTGCATATCTAGATCCATGAACAGCATGCGAGTAAATGGTGATATGTTGTTAAGATCTAGTTTCTTTTCCAAATAGGCTTGTGTTGCTGATAGGTCCATCATAGATTTGAAAGTGCGGGTTAGTAGATCTTGATTTTCTTAATCTTGTGATCTTGTTATATGAGTTGTGGGTGTTCTACTGGAGTTTAAGTGGCTTGACAATCAGTAACAAATATTCATGCTTTGTGTTGAAACGTTTGCTTCCTGCTAGATATAAGGTATATGGTTTCAGCTTCATGTTAGGGCTTAGATTGCACCATAGTAATTTAGTTGACGCCTCTTAGTGTTCAAGTTCAGTAACAAGTTGCTCGAAAAGAAACTGATCTGCATATGATGCCAGTCTCCCATATTTGTGTATATAATTAGTTAGTTTAGTGTTAGAGAGACCGTTTGACTCATTGTGTCATCTTATAGCTATTTCAGGTTCCTGCAGCGATCTTATAGCTACCGTGTCGTAAATTGGTAGTTTGTTAGAGGGACCGTTAGACTCATTGTGCAGAGAGCATATTTTCTTCCATCGTATATCTAAAATTTGCATCTGCCTCCAGAATGACAGATAAATTCCCCTATTGCCGATGTAGGTACAGAATCTTGGTTGACAAATGATATGATTCTTTTGAGGCACGGTCATTCGTTTTCAGGCCAAATATACTTGGGATTTCATCCATGTGCTTTGAAACAGTGACGAGGCATTGACTTGTTTGAATAGGCGTCAAATTGAAGTATGAGAAAAATAACCTTAGACATCCTAAAGTATTAGAAAACAGTAACCTTAGACTACTAGAAAACAGTAGCCTTAGACTTTACATTCTAGACTATCAGAAGGGTTAATGTGAACATCCAGAAATAACAAATTGTTTCTATGGCTGAGATGCTTAAGCCATAGCTAATTAAGCATTGGCGCTATTGCTCCATTTCAAGTTATTTCCAATCTGTGTAGAGATGTCTTGTATCTATAATGTCGGTACAGCTGTTAGTGGTTGCTTGTGTCACGGCCTCCATATGGTTTGATTTCCCTGATCTAATATGATGTAAGGTTACTAAGTTCTCATATGTTTTCAACGGTGTTTCATTGATTTGAAATACAGAATGTAAAGCACCATCCTCACATCCGTGGAATGAAAGAAAGAGATTAATACCTGCTCTATTTAGTATCATAGTAAACAGATGCATGATTTAGCCCTGGATTTCAACCCTTATATTGTTTGGGAACAATGGGTAATAATTATAATTAGGGTCGATGAGGTTGATAAGTTTCCGGATAGTTTATGATCATACTATTGCCCTGTGTTTAAAACATATTTCTTTTGTACTCAAAATGGGAGCTGCAGATAAATTTGTTTTAATCCCAGATCCATGGCATTCCTATGTGTGCAAAGTATATGTTTCATTCTCTTATCGTTGCATTGACAGGTACCGTGCCATCACAAGTGCCTATTACCGAGGGGCTGTTGGTGCACTTCTTGTGTACGATGTTACACGACACTCCACGTTCGAAAATGTCGAGAGGTGGCTACGAGAGTTGAGGGATCACACGGATCCTAACATCGTAGTCATGCTCATCGGTAATAAATCAGATCTCCGTCACCTTGTGGCCGTCTCAACCGAAGATGGGAAATCCTTCGCCGAGAAAGAATCCCTCTACTTCATGGAAACTTCTGCCCTGGAAGCTACTAATGTCGAAAACGCATTTGCTGAAGTTCTTACACAGATCTACCATATCGTGAGCAAGAAAGCTATGGAGACCGGTGACGAAGGGAACGGTTCAGCCGTGCCCTCCAAGGGAGAGAAAATTGATGTCAGTAAAGACGTGTCGGCTATGAAGAAGGGAGGTTGCTGCTCTAGCTAGGACGATGACACAAATCGGAAGCCCGATTGTTTAAAAGGCCTAAAGTAGGAGATGAGCAGAGATTGATTTAATTCTTCATTAAGAAAATAATTCTTTTCCCTTCTTGATGACTGGTATTTTTAGTAGAGGAGGCTTATGAAGAAGAACAGGTTCTTACACTATTGTTAGAGTATCTGTTTATTGAACCAATTGTGCTAAACTCTATTGTTGGAAATACTATTTAGTGTGTGTTTTTTCTTTCGTTCTCAGGCAGATCCAAAATGAATGAATAATTTTAATGGTGAGTTTGCATGATTTAATCGTACCAAAAGTCTGTAATTTCATGAGCTTTATGATGGGTTTTCTTCTAGTCTCAAGAAACGGAATTTTTATATGATTTTTCCAACATGGAAGATTTTCTCATGAACAAGAGTTATGATACTCTAATTCATTCAATTCCTCCATTTAATTCTCTATTCTTTTGATTTAGTCCACCAACTTTACGTGATTTTCTCATTTCTTCGATTCATCATTCATTCTAAGTCTATTGGGATCAAATTTATATCACATCCTCTTCTACCACTACAGAATACCGATATAACTTCACTTATCATTTTTAACTACAAAATTAATCCTTTTTTTAATTGGGCTCGACGCAGCTTGATTGACTCAGTCTGAATTAGCTGGATTCGATTTGGATTGGGTTTCAATTCGATGGGCTTTTGAATCGGTTTGGTTGGGGCAATGTAGACTGGGCTCACAGCTCAATTGGGTCGAGCATACAGACCCAACAAGATTCAGTTATTTGGGGCCTGAATAATAGCCTGGGCTAAATCGAATCGGGCACAAGTCGAATAAAGACGGGTTTTCATGCGGCAGCACAGACGACGCAAGCGATGTGTGCGACAACTACCGATGCTTAGAAAATTATAGAAATTTTCAGAATTGAATAAAATGAAATTATAAACCTCTTACTTGAGTTGGTGCAATGGTGAGCGGCGAAGATAAAACTTTTAACAAGCTGAAACTTCCCACAGCCCACGCTCCACAATAGCGACGGTGATAATTGAAACGAAAGCACTGGTCGACTAGAGATGAAGCACTGGAGCATATGTCATCAGTCATATAGCTCACTGACAGCTAATCTACGATAAATTATCGATTGACACTCAGTACTAGGGAGGAAAAAACCCTTGGGAGAAAGCTGTAGAAACATGAAAAGTCTCATCAGATAATTATGGATTTTATTTCCTATTTTTTTTATTAAATCATGGTGATTATAAAATAATATTTACTCTAAATATTTTTAATTATTTAATAATAAACATTTAATTACTCTTAATGTAGTTATTGGTGCTCGAATCTAAGACCTCTAAAAATAATAATTATTCTTTTAATCATTGAGATAATTTGATTCATGCATTTTATATCCTATTTGAAGTCGGTTTATTTGAAAATCGCTTAAAACTAAAAGGAGTATCTTATATCTTAAAGGGTGTTTGGTTCAAAGAAAACGTGTAATGATATTTTTCGGAATCTTATTCTCATGTTTGGTTTGAAGTGATTCTCGTTGGGATGAAAAAGACTATTATCAATAGTAATATTTTTGGGTTAAAATGATGGGAATGTGATTCTCTCTATTTGCTTAGGTATTTGTTAATTCCCATCAACTTAGATAATATTGTCCCTTATGTATTGAGTTTTTCTTATTTGAATCATTTATATCATAATTTTTAATTAGATGAGTAATTATTTACGATATAAATTTATTAAATATTTTGTTTTAAATTAATTTAATATTTAAATTATGTTCATACATTTAAATATTTAATACTATTTTGATATTTAATATGTTTTTATTGATATTATATTATTGTACCTATAATATTAATAATTTAAATATATTATCTAATGCTTACCCTTATGTTTTGTGTTAGTTGATTTTAGGAAGTCCATTAAGAATTATGTTTGTTCTATGTAATCCTCTATTCATTCGGCCTCATAGAGACCAAGAGATTGAAGCATATTCGAATACATACAGTTTACATGTTGGGTAGAAGAATTTAAACAAAACAAACTACCAAGTATTATATTTTTTACATACATTTAAAATATATTGTGGTTCCATTTTATGTAATACCCTAAAATTTGAATAGTGATTAAAATGTAATTTTTTGAAAGTTTGTGTCAAAATAGAAATTTGGGAAAAATTCAAGGATCAAAGCAGTAATTTTCCCAAAAATAATTTTTATCCTAGAAATGAATAGTTCATCCTTAAGAATGAATTCTATATGGAATTCATATTTTGATACAAAGAATGTGTAAAAAACTATGAAGAGATAAATTCGGTAAAATATTCAAATAACCGGATTGAATTGGGAAATTAGGAAAAATTGAAGGATGATGGAAAAAGGCTAGAAATATTATTTCTATATTTTATAATATTGAAATTTGACATGGATTCTTAGAAATTAGATCGATTTTCTATATTAAATCGAAATTGTTACTTATGGTGACTAATTTGTAATCTTTAAAAATTACAAGGGTAAATTGGGAAAGTATGAAATAGTTTGTTTATGTTTGACTTTGAAAATGATAAAAGGAAGATGATATGAACAAAATGATATGAATTTTTATATTCATTTAATGATTTTTTAACAAATTCATGAGAACTATCTAGAAAACTTTTTTATTCTTCCTATATATGTCATGCCATTTCCTTTGATTTTTGGATTAGGTATGAAATAGAAAATTTATTTATATCAAATTATTTATCATTTGACTTGTATATTACATGTTTTTCATGCTTGAATCAATGGTTTTTTTGTTTGAGTGGATGATGAACAAGTTGGAATTTATTAAAAAATATTAAATTATGATGTTAAGTGTGTAGTAGGGTCATAAACAAGCATGAAAATCAATTGAAGATTATTAGAAATACTCATTAAGCATTCTATCATTAGGGGAATTTATGATAAAATGTTAGGGTTGAGTACTTTTGATATGGAATTGATTAAGATTGGAGGGAAATGATAGGTTAATAATGAATTCATGCTTGAACCAAGTTGAAAATCAAGTTAAGACACTTTAATCAATTCGGTCTAAAGGAAGAAAATAGGGGAAAATTGTGGGGAAAATTTTACCAGGTTTATAAATGATGTATGAGTAATTCTACATGCTTTGAATGTTGATTTGAACCAGTTTGGAAATTTGTGAAAGTATAGGGACCTATTCACATAATTTGAAAAAAATAAGGATTGATGTGCATTTGTTTAATTGTTGATGTGTTCTGTTAAAATTGAATGTTGGAACAATGAATTTGATATTAGAATATTGATTTGGATCAAATTGGAAATTAATTAAAGTAATAGGACTAATTTGTGCAATTTGATAAATATGATGATTAAAGTGTAAATGTTTATTAGTTGAAGTAATATGCTATAATTAGATGTTAGAATGTTGAATTAGATGTTAAAAATGTGAAATTGGACTAATTTGGAAAGTTGGTAATGTTTGAGGACCAAATCTTAAACATGGAAAAGATAGGGACTGAAGTTAAAATTTTAAAATTGTTGAGGTAATATGTTTTAATTAAATGCTGAAGATTTTGGTTATATTAATCGAAGCTTGAGTTGAAGTTTATTTATAAAATTTGTTAAGATTAAGGATTAAATTGTAAATTTGTATAAGCTGTGGTCTGAAATGGAAATTTAGTATAAAGTTGAATAGTAAAATTTTAATATGTTGTTGGAATATTCGAATGTGTTTTATGATGCTTGAATTTACGATTAAATGACAAATAAGAAGAAGATTATATTGTATAAAATAAAAAGGTTGAGATAAAATTCTAAAAGAATTTATTCTATGACTAAAATTTACAGATTTGGAATTGAATTTGGAAGGTTATTGGAGTATAAGAACTAAATTGTAAAAAATGGAAAAAGTTTGAGAACTTAAACGAAAAATGTTAATTATTAAAAAAAAATTAAGTACTATATTGGAATCGAATATTAAAATGTTGATTTAATGTTGAAATGTTGATTTGGGGTTAGTTTATAAGTTTGTCAAAGTTTGGAAATCAAAATGTAAAATGGTCCTATGAATAAACATGCCCACTAAGCTACTGTACAATACTCTGAGATAGGTTCTGGAAATCCTAGTGTGACGGTGCTTCATGAATGGCTCAACTACTAACCTACAAACGAAAAACATTCGAACACTAAGCTTACAAAGCCCAATGATATAATCACTAATCTAAAGTAGTATATGAATCTCATAAACTTAAGTATGCTAGAAGACTTTATAATAAATAGTAAATACATGCATGATCATAATCAAGTGCTACCTACTTAATGTTCAACAGTTTTATCGCTATAGTGTAAGTCTCACACTTCCCTTAGTCTCTACTAAGGGCCTCACCATGAGTAAATGAATACTAGGTATCTAACTTTCGTATCACACTATAATGCATCATCATACATCACACAATGATAATATTTAGTATCACAAAGATGTTGGGTACAATCACACAACAATAAGTAAGTGTCATGGTGTAGCTTGGGGTCACATAATATCACGAAAATCACATCCCTATTTGCTTACTAGAGGTACCTTGGGTAAGACCAGGGTCACTCAGCATCAACATCAGCATCTCCCAAGTATCATAGGTGAGGTATGGGTCACACAGTATCGGATTCTCTAACATACCATAAGCTAGGTCTGGGTCACACAACATCATCACCTTGCCTGGCTAGTATACTCCTTTGAGTACACGGGATGTGTCTAGGTCACCTAACATCATAAAATCATCCAACTAGCATTTAAATTTCTCTCCCACTGACTTTGATATATCTAGATACTTCCCAAACAATTAGACGATAGTCACACATATACATATATCATTATTATCGCGTGGTTATCTTATTATTATTATCAATTACTACATAAGTAAGTGAGATCGCTCCCTCACTTACTACTATTTCGTATGTTTTCTCTCCTATAATGTTATGTAAGAGATTAATAATATTTTAGTGTTTTATGCCCTTAAGGCAATTCATATTCATTGCTACCTACTTGGTATATTATAACTAGCCCAACACTCGAGAATATTTTAGTGATGCGACTTCTCAATCATTCTCATCACACTTCCATCGGCTCACCCTTGAATTGAAGAGCAACTTACTCACTTTTAATTCGTAGGTGTTCACGTGGTACTCATTTTTCTCTATCGTGTTATTCACGTTGTTCATCGTCTCACTCGCTCACATATCTTTCGCAATGGTCCTTTGTTCATGAGTACTCGACATGTGCTCAATTGAAGATACTTAGAAGTATTACATCTAAAATGGTTACTTTGATTGTAACTCACTTCTAAGAGCGTTTTTAGGTACATTTTGCCATTTAAGTGCCTCACGGACTAAGTCCCACTATTACAGGTCATCCTTAACTCTTACAGATCTTAACAAAGTCAAATCTAACCATTCAAAATAAGTAGTATCGATACCTTACATGCAGTATCGATACTATTAGGTCAAGTATTGGTACTTCTTTGAGTAAAAATACCAAGAAAACAATTTTTTTACCAAAATTCCTCCTAGTATTGATATTGTTACCCTATATATCAATACCAGAACTGCAATATCGATACTCCTTGCTTAAAATGCATAGAAATCATCCCAAATCATCTAGTATCGATACTGATCATCTATTATCGATATCTTAACCTAGAAAATCCATAAATATGCTTGGAAAACACTCAAGAATCCTCCCAAACACCCTAGTTTGGTCCCAAATCAAATTTTAAAGCTTGAAGAGTGTATTTAGGGTTATTTAGCATTATAAAAACACTATATTTACACCAAAACGTCATCTAAGCATGAATCAAGTAAAACCCTCAAATATGCTCAAATACATAAATCTCCAACAAAGCATCACATTTAGGAAATTCATAATACAACAAAGTATTAGAAATACACTACCTTATCTTATGAATTTGAAATGAAGTTTCTTTCTTCATCTACATTTGTTTTCTCTTCTCCACTTTCCTTTGAGCACTATATATCCACTTCCTCTAGCCAACAAGAAAAAGAAAGGCTCTAAATCCTTAAACAATGTTGTTAGAAGACTTAAAGATCGATTTAAAGCTAAATGGAACATGGAATAAGTCTTTATCACCACCATCTTTGATCCATAAAGCAAGAAGAAGATGTAATAAAAAATGAGGAAAGTGCTCCTCCCTTTTCCTAAAAAATAACCCCACGCCCAAATTTTATTTGAAACCCTATATATCAACCTTATTTTCATCAATGGTATAACTACACTATTAGTCCCTCATATTTTACCTTATATGCAAAACAAACTCAATTTTATAACCATTTGGGCTCCATTCACGTCCAATCAAGCTCACACTCGGCCCAACCTCTTTAGTTACTAAGTCTTCGAGGTCCACATACCTCTAAGGTAAACTCAAAACTACTAGTCCGAAATTTGGGATGTTACAATATATGAATTCTCCTTGTATGAGCCATTAGATTATAGTTAAATGTATCCCAAGATATATGAAAGCTACATTAGACTATGAATTGATATTTATTCCTAATACAACGATGAATCTTACTACTTATTGTGATACTAACTGGGATAGTGATTGCGATGATCATCGATCAATATTTAAATTATACAATTTTCTTACCTAAAAAAATTATCTCCTCAACTTCTAAAATGTAAAAAATTATCTATCGATCCATGGGAGAAGCTGAATATTGTGAAATAATGTGATTAAAATTTCTGTTAGATGATTTTGACATTATTATAAAATAAAGTTCCAAATATTTAGGGTGACAACACAAGAACAATTATCTTGACTACCGACAAAGTCCTTGACAAATTGTTGTTATATATCAATTAAACTACAACTTGCAGACTAAATTTTTATCAGTCAACATTTTCCCTACATTTCGCAAAAAAAAAAAAAACTTAGGCAATAAAAGAAGTGGTAAGTGGTTGCTAGCCTTCAACAAAGTATCAATCAAATGAATGAATATTAGATATAACACCACAAATTTATAGTATCAGATTAAATATCTTGGAAGTTACAGATGGCATTATATGATTGGTCATGGAAACTTGTACATATGTCAAGATCCATATATGTTGAAATATTAGATATAAAAGTAATGAAGTTTTTCTCCTTTCTTTTAGCTTCAATACTTCTCCGATTTTTCAGTTAAATAGTTGAACTTGTGCGTGTTGATGTTTAGTTAATAACTCTTATCTTAAGACGGCTACATTTCAATAATATTCCATTATCCATCTTCTTTATCAACCAAGAGCTTTGCATACACTTACAATCATTCATCTTCTAAGTGATTGCATTCTTGTTTACAACTTTAGGTGATTTGCTACTTATTTAATATTACATCAAGTTGAAAGGGAAATCGTGATGAAATAAAAAGAAATAGAGAAAAAAAAATGAAGGGTTGATGATGGTAGTCAGTCCCCATACGATGCTAGTAAAAGACGGAAGCAATAAGTGGGATTCTCTGCCTTCTTTGCCAACCACTAACACCACATCTGCTTAATTAAATTTCCCCACATTTCCCCCATTTTCCCCTTTATTTTTTAACCTATAAAATCTTGGATAAAGTACTCATTTTGGTACCTCAAGTTTATATTTTTTTAAAATCATATCAAAAAGTTTAATTTAAATTTCAATTTAATACCTCATTATTAAAAACTAATAGAACTAATGATATGATTTTTCTTACTTTTCTTCAATGATGACGTTGTATGATTTAAAAAAATATACTGAAATTGAACAAAAGTAATAACTTAGGTAATAAATGTGTAGTTTAGCCTAAAATCTTTGTCCTTATACGCATCACAAAAGCAAGAAAAAAATCTAAAATTCGAGAGACAACAAGGCATGGTCTTGGTTAACAGCGCGTGAAAATCACCCCCAAAAGAGTTGTCTTAGCGTGGGTTTTACCTTTACACCGTTACCGCCGGATGTATGTCTTTGAGCAAACCCAACACTTGCTGCATCGTGGGCCTCTTCTCAGCCGATTCTGCTGTACACAAGTACCCAACACGGAGGCTCTCCACCATCTCAGCCTCCGAGTCACCACCGAGTCTCAACCTCGAGTCAAGCGCCACCACCCCATTTCTCTCCTTCACTAACCTCCTCACCCGCTTCACATTCTCCTCTGTCCCTTGCTTCCCCGTCAAAAGCTCCAACAAAACAACACCAAAGCAATAAACATCGAATTCCACATCGCATTCGCCCTTCTTATCCCTCTCTTTTTTAGAGCCGATGTTTCTTATCCCGAAATCGGATATTCGAGGTTCCAGATTGTCGGAGAGCAGAACATTAGAAGCCACCAGATGGCCATGGCTGGACCCCACATGATGCAGATAAGCCAGCCCACGAGCAACTCCAACCGCGATACGGTGGCGAGTCAGCCAGTTTGTTTTCTCCGGCGAAGAAGAATGGGACCCTATAACATCCCAAGTGTCGGTGGTCCAATCCTCCACGTTGGGCTCCCCCGTCGGCAGCTCGTGTAACCACCGGTGTAAATCCCCGTTCGCCATGAATTCATATAACACCAGCTTCTCCTTACCTTTAAAACCCAGAAATTATAATTAACGTGAAAGTTGAAAATGTATATGCATGGATGAAATTGAAAAGAAGCGCCAAAAATTCACGAATGTCGAAACAAATAATGATGGACTATTTTTACACATAGAAACAAACCCGTCAGCCTATTTAATGCAGTAAATCTTATCGGAGATGAAGTAATCATTAGAGTTACCTGCAATGCAGTAGCCGGAGAGAGGTAATAGGTTAGGGTGTTTAAGCCTAGAAAGATCTTCAAACATGGCTACGGCTTCATCATGATCGACGTCTCTGGCGTGTTCTAGAACTTTGATCACCACGTGTAGGTCCCCGGGGAGGATGGCTCTGTAAAGTGGCCCACACCGGCCTTCCGCCATTAGCGACTCCTTCCCGAAACGAGACGTGGCGGCGATCAAGTCCTTGAAGGAGAAGTTCATCAACGGCTTCGATGACATGTTGACAAGTGCCGACGTCGGTTCTTTGATGTCCGCGACCCAAGATGAACCGGATTCCGTCTCGAAAGAGAACGGCCCTGATTTTTCCATCTTGAAATTTGGTTGAACCGGGTTGGAGATAGCCCATTTGTTTTTTATCCTTGAAAATTTCTTTCTCCTGTATGTGAAGAAGATACAGAACGCAAGGGAAGCAAGTAGAAACCCAGATGAACACGATAAACCAATGACCAAAGCTTTGGGTTTATGTTTTTTCTTCTGGCTTTTTATGGGTAACTGTTTTTTCAAGAAATGGGGTTTGATGTGATTGCTCGATGCTTTTCTTGAAGTATTGAAGACGAAATTTCCAGCATGAATAAAAGCAGATTTCCCAAATCTTTGGAACTTGTCAAACCCAACTGAACCGTTGAAGTGGTTGAACGAAACGTTGAGAAACTTCAAGCTATTGACTAATGGGAAATCGGAAGGGAAAGTACCATCCATGGAGTTTTCCGATACATCCAAGTAATTCAATGAACGAAGAGCTGAAATAGGCTTTACACTGCCTGCAATCTTGCAACTCGAAACATCCAAGTGCCTGAGCTTGTTAATATTAACGAATCCGTAAGGAAGAACACCAAGATCATTGTGGGAAAGATCAAGAACTTCAAGGCCGGGAAAACCAGAGAGTTTAACCAAATTGGTGAACCTGTTAGCCGAGAGGTTCAGCACCCGAACCGGCGAAAACGAGATATTTCCTGAGGTGGGTTCGAACCTGATGCTCCCTCCGAACTTGTTCCTCGACAGATTGACATCGAGGAGTGAAGGCATGGACCAGAACCAACCGGGAACAGAACCTTGAAGGGAATTGTTGGATAGATCAATGGTGTTCAAGTGTGAAACGTTGCTGAGAAATTTCCATGAAACTGTACCGGTTAAACCCTTCGAAGAGAGATTCAATACCTTTATTTGAGGATACGAGCAGTTCAACAAAGAGGCGTTGAACCCAGAGACTGATTTGAAAGCTTTGGAAAGCAGTGCGTGGTCTTTAGTGGTGCATGTAGATTGTGCCGCTACCAGCAGGGAAAAGAGAAGTGAAAATTTTGTGACTAGTTCCATTTCTTTTCAGTTCAAGCGCCTAGCTTTTCTGCAGGTTTGGGCATTTCTACGCTGAAGCAGATATAGAAAACGAAGGAAGAGTGAAGGAAGAGTGAAGAAATATATGGAAAGAGGGTCTTTATCTTTTATGGTCTAGAGGTGGGGGACCCTGAAAAGGTAGTGAAGTGGTATTGTTTGGGTATAAAAATGATGGATCAGTTAACGGTGTAAATTGTGTTCTACTGTTAATGGAGGTTTGGTTTACTGTGCATTTTATTTTGCCATAGTGATTGACTCACTCCTGATAAAACAATGGGTAAAGTACACATATGATCCTTCGATAGTAAGACATTATTTTATTGAGTCTCCTAACTATTAAAATTTACAAGATAATCCTTCAATTATAAGACGTTATTTTGTTGAATCCCCCTACTATTAAAAATTAAAGAATAGTCATCTGACTATTTATATGTTTTAAACTCATCATTTCTCATAAAAAAATTGGTGGTCATCTAGTTGGATGTTAATTTGTATGATAAAATCATATTTTAATGATGTTTACTCACATCATTGTTGCTTTCAAACAATAACTCAATGTTCAAGAATTGGCTTGATAACATAATGTAAACAGATAGTCGATCCACAAAATATAACTCAAATGGTTCTTAGATTAGATTTTACCATATCTTAGTCAACAAGTTAACGTTCAGCTAAGACGATCGTCGATTTTTTAATAGAAAAGGATTTGTTTGAAATATATGAATAGTTAGGTGACTATTTTGTAACTTTTAATAACCGAAAAACTCAACAAAATAACACCCCATAATTGATGACCATTTTTTGTTCTTACCCATTAAATATATGTAACAAAATTTAAATAATAAAGTAATATTAAATAAAAATATTTAATAAATTTACACTCAAATAATTAACTATCACATGAACCAAACAATATTAGTTGTTAAAAGGATAATTAGTACCCTTGAAGTCTCAATTTTGAGCACGAAGTCTACAAGAGTTAATGAACATTCATTGTTAAAATGTTCGAGAGCTTTTTTAAGAGATATCAAATTGTAATCACCCAAATTACTCAAAATAAATGATTAACTATCTAATAAAAATTATGCATCAAATTGATTAATATAAAAATTATGTTCACCCTTAAATACGCTTGCATCCGTTAGTGATCAAAGAAGTGGTGAATCTAAAAATATTTTTAAATTAATATATATATATATATATATATATATATATATATATATATATATATATATATATATATATATATCAACAACATATTTTTTTCGTATGAAAAAATTTAAGTTTCATTATTCACCCTGGATTACAAATATATCTATCAGTAATTTTAAGAATAATTTTATCTAAAATGACATAAATCGATAAATAATTAAGAGATAGATAAGAATAAAATTCTTGAAATCTTGATATAGAAAACAGTACAATAAAAAATTTGTTTTCATTTGATGAAAATAAGAATAAATCAAATATGTATATATAATTAAAAATGGTAATTATCAACTTAAATAATGATGTTTTCTGAACTCAATTGAAGTATCATGTTTTGTGCAAAACATGCTCCACGATTTACGTGTTTGTAAATGACTTAGCGTATTGTCAACGAACGGTGCCTATTTTGAGTGGGGGTCTTTGGTTCTTCGCAAAATAAAGTTGAAATTTATAGTCAATACGGCAACACTTTTGGTGCTTCAGATGGAAGCCTCACGCGTATGGGGTCTGTTTCAGTGTTCCATTTTGGACATGTTTACTTAGATCACCACTTCTTCTGTCTTCCCTTTTTAACCAAAACAAGGGGTCTCATTCCAACCATACTCAAGCTTATTTTCTCTTCTAGGAAACTCCAAGTAGTCAATTTATTTTACAGATTATTTTTTTATTTTAATATCTTTTTCTTTTTATAAAAATAATGATTTTTTTTAAGAATTTTCTTAAAATTGATTTTATGTCACTCATTTCGTTAACAAATATTTATTTTTTTCCAACATATTTATTTTCATTAAATATAATGAGGTGCTAATATAATGACTCATTGTCTTCTTTACTTCATATAGTAGGCTTAAGAGCATCAATTGTTTAAAATTTTAATTGTTATTTTATTAATTTTTAGGGTAAACTACAACTTTGATGACTTTTATCTTAATTTTGTATATTTTTTCACTGAATTTAAAAACATAATATTTAATCACTTCGTTTTTACTTAAATAAGGTGTGGTCACACTTATTTAATTTATTCACTAATGACAATCAAAATTTCAGTGATTAAACATTTAAAAATCGATAAGTTAAATGATTACATCTTAATTAAATAAAAACGAATGTGGTCACACTTAAAAAATGAAAATAACTAAATATTATATTTCTTTAATTCAATGAAAAAATAAAAAAAAACATAAACAAAAGTTATCAATCCTGTAATTTATCTTAATCTTTAATATCAATAAAGTTTTAAATTTAAGAATATGTAATTATAATTTTAAATTAAAAAAGTAAACATTTATTAAAATTGTACCTAAACCCAATTCAATAATTATTGTTGTTAAATTCATTAACCGAGATAATAAACCAAACCAAATTATTATTTCGATTAGCGTATCATTGTCAGTAAATTAATGGGTTTTTTGTTTCTCTTTGCATAGCCAATCCATTAGACCATTATCAATTCTTTCTGAACCGAACATACCACTGTGATATATTTGTTAATGCCTGGTTTCAGCAATCGTGCTTATTGGAATTACAACTTCAATACCAATAATTAAAACCCTAACTGAAGGAATGTGTGTGAAAACTAATGATGACGAATAGTTGTTCTTTAGAGGCGAAAGGTATTAAAAAAAGCAGCTGTATTCACTCTCTTAACGAACCTCAACCACATCAATTTGCGTAGTAATATGGAATTATCCCATATTATACATATATGGCAGCGGCTCCACTACCATTATTCTCTAACTCTTTGACGAATAAAAGCTAATCAACTTTATCAATCAAATGAGAGAGACTTTATAATCTACTATTTATTCAGGCTTTGACTGAATTTTTTCCCAAAGCACATAATCCACCTTATCATTTTTGTTTAATTTCGGCATTAATACAATCTATTTCTCACTCAACTTTACTTAAACCAACTTCCATTTTACATTAATTTTATGGGTATTATACTGATAATCATTGAACTTTTGGGATAATTTTACTTTAATTATTGAATTTTTAAAACTTACATTACAATCATTAAATTGTTAATTTTCCTTCATTACGATCATTGTCATCAAGAAAAGTTGATATGATATGTTAAAGTCATCTTCTTCTACAAACTCTTGTGATTCTAAATTGATAGTCGGCACAAAGGCTGAATTTTCGACAAATAAAGTATTTATTGGTAAATCTCAATGGTGTGAAGACTTCGTTTGATAAAAAAATTAGCATAGTTTAATTTTAAACTGATTTAACGGTTGAGAGTGATAGATAGAATGTTTTAGCTTTTATTTTCGATTGATATTTGAAGAGATTAAACGTTTTTTTAATGAGTTTGAATGAAGAAAAAGAAAGAAATAGAAGAAGAATATAAGTAATTCGACAATTTTTCTACCACCAAACAACATTGAGAAGAGGAGCGATAGCTAATAGGTTTTAAACTACCATGTTAGCTTCTGTTAATTGTTTAATGATTCAGAGACTGAAATAATAAAAAATCTTAATGACAGCAACTACAATAAAAGACATTTCGATTTTGATAACTAATGTAAAAGCACCCAAAAAGTTAAGGAGCAATTAGTGTGCTTTACCCTAGAATATTCAATCATATCTCACCTGCCTCGGCACATGATATTTGGCTGAATTACTCCATCGTTTATAAATACAACATATTCCTACTTCTCTCACTGCAAGTAGCACCGTATATTTATATATATGTTTGAATTGTATGCAGACATGTTTGAATTGTTTGAGGGTTAGTTTGATGGTTGGATTTGGATTCACCTAATCCACAAAATTCCAACCCAACATTCCAAAAGGAATGACAACTAAGTTTGAGAAACCAATTAAAATATTTTTATGCCCTCAGATGTTCCTACCTAAAAGTTAAGGGACGGAATGTTAATAATCCTTATTATACGCTTTCTATTTTATTAAAAATTAGGTTATGGTATTGGTAATGCAACTATAGCTATCTGTCCACCTAGTACGCCTTGAAATGCAAAATACATTTTTTTTATTTGTACCTTGTTTACTCGTGATTAGTGGGTGACAGCCTTGTAACTGGAGACCTGTGTTTCATAGTTCCAGTCTTCGAGATAATAAAGAAAAGTAATCTATTTATCAAATATGCATGTTATAAGAAACCAAGAGAACATGAATAACAATAGAACATAAAAACCTTGAATTGATCATTATATATCATGGACTAAATCATAAACTTTATCCAAATACAGGGACTGAAACACACGTTTAACCAACAATTTTAAACACCTATAATTTACACTTTAATTGTAGTTACAACTTTAAAATTATAAATCACAATATATATTTATATAATACCAATCATTTACCAAGTATTTTTTACTAATAAATTTATTTAATAAAATTTTCAATATCTAAAAGTATAAATAAAATTTTATTCAATAATTTTTTATTCAATAAAAATTGTTATTGATCTATTATTTATTATTGATAAAATTCTATTTTTTTTTATCATTTAATAGTTGTTGATAAAGATTCACAAAATATTTTGATGCACAATAGGTATGAGCCCAATAATATGTACATTTACATCGATAATATAAAGATTTTACTTTCTTAATTAGATTTTTATTATATTTTTTCTTTTTCTTTTTTATTTTCTTTTATTTTTTTTTGAATCGGAGAAGAGAAAAACTAACAATATGTAAGTTTTACAGGAGGCTAATGCCTAACTTATCCTTATTGAAAATATGAAGAAGGTCCTGAGGTGGTTCATCGAAGACGACAGTGAATATATAGTTGATGTCAGCAGCCTTGGCTAAGGCATCAGCAAGTTTGTTTCCATGCCGAGAAGTCCATGAGATAAAAGTGACCCAAGCCTGTCTCCGGAGTTTGTCAATGCC